TTCTGATTGTTTTCGTAATTGTCCAATGAGCAAAGAAGGGTTTCGCATTACAGTGTGATAAATGTATAACATTGCTTCATGATCACATACAAGTTCTTGAGGTCATTGTAACCCAAAAATCTAGGCAGCACTTAAATTCATTAAACATAAAAAATGAGAAGTTTGTCATATAAGGTGATTTTTTGTTGAAAAAAAAAAACAATTTTTTAAAGCTGTTTTACCCACTCATTACAGCATGAAAACATTTTAAAGTTATAGACTCTTTGTACAAGATTTAATACTGCTAACAATCTTTAAAATGTTAAATGACACACCTTAGAAAAACAAGGTTCAGGTAATGAGATTTTTAATGTGTAACTTTGAACTTGACTTCCATTTGAACCCTTGGCCTTCCATCCCAAGGGAGAGTTTTGCACATCAAAACCATCTTTGCCCACATGTGTTTACTCTGAGATCCAGACCCAAAAAACAAACCACACGGTTTTCAACATCTGTGAAATTTAACTGCCTTTTCAAAAATGCATAATTACAGCAGAGCTGGAAAAAGGGGTTTACGGCTCATATTTTTGGGAAAGCTCAACCAAAGTTGCAGGCAGCAGTCACGACAAGTCTAGAGAAGGCTTCAATGGATTCACTACCAAGAAGTCTTAGTACAGATCACATGACTTTAAAACAAAAGTTTAAACTCTATAATGGAGAACTCTTTCTATCTTCTACCACATATCCATAGTCACAGTGCGGAGGAAATAGGTCCTGCAGAGAAATCCAGACAGCAACATTCCAGTTCCTTCTGTGGGACCTCGAGGTGTTCCCAGGTCAGAGAAGATACACAATCACTGCAAAGAGATCTGGATCTTCACCAGTGGGACGTGCATGGAAAACCTCCAAGGGAGGCATCAGATGCCCTCACCACCTCAGCTGACTCTTTTCAATACAGAGAAGCAGCGGCTCTACTTCGATCTCCCTCTGGATGACGGAGCTCCTCACCCTACTTTTAAGGCTGAGCTCAGCCACCTACAAAGGAAGCTCATTTCAGCTGCTTGTATCTGGGATCTCATTCTTTCGGTCAGGATCTATATCTCATGACGATAGGTGAACGTTGGAATGTAGACACACCAGTAAATCGAGAGGGTTGCCTTTCGATTCAACTTTTTATTCACTACAACACACCGAAGCAATAACCTCATTACTGAGGGCGAGGCCCCAATACGTTGATCTTCCACTGCATCACTCGTGATCAAGACACCCAAATACTTGAATTCCACCTGAGGCAAGACCCCCAACTTTCTTGAATTTAGAATTTGATATCAGCAGTAATTACCAAGTCTTACTTGTTTTTTGATGGTTTTGTTTTTATATATTTCAAGTTTTACCAGAATTTGCTATTGATCTCACATGGAAGGGATGTTCAGTTTCCAAAATCAGTAGAGAAATGGTAAAGCAAGTGATTAATAATCATTAAGCTTTACCTGGATTCATTATTTTAATTTCCAAATATTCCACACAATGATCACATTCTCTAGAACATATTGGAAAAAGGGAGCAGAACTTTGTCCCAAAAATATGCTGGAGATGAGCAATGCCTCCTTTTTAACACAAATGTCTAAAAAATGTGTATTATTTGGATTATTATAGATATTGATATGTTTCAGACAATATTTGTGATGTTTTCAAGGTTCTTTATTGTCTTGTGGTACATGAGATGGAATGGAATTGGGAACTTACACCCCAAAATAGCAAAAATATAAAGTACTAAAAAATTCAACAGTATACGAGAATCTAAGATATATGCTAAACAATAATAATGTAAGTAAATGTATTAATGAATCCCTGTGATGGACTTGCAACCAGTCCAGGGTGTCCCCCACCTCTTGCACATTGACTGCTGGACATAGGCACAGTGACCCCCATGACCCCAAAAGGAAGAAGAGGATAAAGATAATGGATAGATGGATGGATGGATGGATGGATGGATGGATGGATGGATGGATGGATGGAT